GGGTGTGTCAGAATGTTATAGTGCTTACATTTGTGTAGGCTATAGTGGGGTAGCCCATAAGGGGTACAACCCAATTAGGGTTAGTACTTGTACCCAACTGTTTCATTGTTCATACATTCTTGTTGATTCTTCTGACAGGAGGCTTTGGTGTACCGTACAAGGCACAGTTGATAGGCAGCAACTTCAAACCAGGGCAAATTTTGCTCTCCCAATCCAACTTAACCACTCTCGGCGAATCAGATTCGGAGCCAAAGGACCAAGACTGAACATCCGTCACGAAGGTCCCGCTCGGCAGCAATTTCGAACCAGGGTTTTCTCTTTTGGATCCCAACCTTTTGACAAGGCACGGCAAGGCAGGCTCGGAGCCAAATCTTCCAAGCTGAAGCGACAGATACAGGACCTGGAACCTACCGAGGCGTTTCTGCCAGAGCTGAAGTGTGCCAATGGCACAAAGAGGTTTTGTAGTGGGCAATTTGAAAATTTTAGGCGTTTGGTCTATAAGCCTCGGTAGATCTCTGCGAGGGTACGGTATACACAACCTATGCCCCCTATCTCCGGTTAAGATCGACGTTGTTTTGTGTTATACGTTCTACAATGCATTTTCACCTACCAAAAAAAAAAAAAAAAAAAAACAAGAGGCGACGAAATCGTCTTAGGGTTGCGAAGCGTTTTGCGTAATCATATAAATTTGTACAACTTCAAATTCTGTATATTATGCTGTAGTATGACACCAAGTGGTACTTCATCAACTTGCCAAAGATCAAAAGAATCGCATCAGCAACAATCGAACTGGAGAACCTTCGTTTCCTCGATCAACTTCAAACGACTGCGACAGCTTAGATGTTCACAATGAACAACAAAATTTAATTCAACATTATCTGTGCGACGAATCTCAAGACTGCCTTATGGTTTGTTTGTTCCTTTTCTCTCCCGCTCCTCCTCGTTAGTTGAGCTCCCACCAGACACACGCTCCACCTACTAGTGCAAGGTAAGAACTACCCTAACTTATCATTTTGAGCAAAATTAGATCATTACAAATAAGGTCGACTTGATTCTAACCTAGGACGACTTAGATCTAAACTAGGTCGGCTTAGATCTTGTTATAACTCATGTCTTATTTCGAAACCGTAGTTTATTGAACGCTCTCTCTATCTCTCGTTCCCTCTCTCTCGTTCTCTCTTTCTCGTTCTCTTTCTCTCATTCTCTCCTTCTCGCTCTCTCTCTCTCTCGTTCTCTCTCTCTCGTTTTCTCTCTCGCGTTCTCTCTCTCTCTCTCTCGTTCTCTCTCTCTCTCTCTCTCTCTCTCTCTCTCTCTCTCTCTCTCTCTCTCTCTCTCTCTCTCTCTCTCTCTCTCTCTCTCGTTCTCTCTCTCTCTTTCTCTCTCTCTCGTTCTCTCTCTCTCTCTTTCTCTCTCTCTCGTTCGCTCTCTCTATCTCTCATTCTCTCTCTCTCTCTCGTTCTCTCCTTCTCGTTCTCACTCTCTCGTTCTCTTTCTCTCGTTCTCTTTCTCTCGTTCTCTCTCTCGTTCGTTCTCTCTTGTTCGTTCTCTCTCTCTCGTTCTCTCTCTCTCTAGTTCTCTCTCTCTCTCGTTCTCTCTCTCTCTCGTTCATTCTCTCTCTCTCATTCTCTCTCTATAGTTCTCTCCCTCTCTCGTTCTCTCTCTCTCGTTCATTCTCTCTCTCGTCCGTTCTCTCTCGTTAGTTCTCTCTCGTTCGTCCTCTCTCTCTCGTCGTCTCTCTCACGCTCTTGCTCTCCGTTGTTCTCGCTCTCCGTATTTCGTTATATTCTCTTCTTTTGTTTACTGTCTCGTTATGTGTTTTTCCCTCTGTTCCCGTTCCTTACTTTTGTTTTATGCCTTGGTACGTTATTCTCATTGTTATTTGTCAGCACTAACCCTTCAATACTCACAGCGTTTTTCTTAGCCCTTGTATTGTTTCATTCATTTCTTTGTGATTCCTTTTTCTCGTCATTTCATCACACCTCATACCCTTTTCTGTTTTATTTTTACCGACTATTTCTTTCCGATCCTCCTTTCCACTTCCTAAACCCGTTTCTCAGGAGCCTTGCTGGTCAGGAATTCGATTTCAATCTGGAAAATGTGTATTGGTCACTAATAGGGATTTATCATATTGTCCTTTTAGCGTTGATTTGCATGTTATTTATTATCGCGCGTTTTTTGCTGGTTTGCCAGTGTTCGTGCTTTTGATTGTGTGAATGTGTTAGCTTGTGTGAGTAACTATGTTTGGTGTATGCGTTTGTAACTGTGTGCGTATACGTATACATACGAATGTGAGTCAGTATGTATGTACGTACGTATGTATGCGTGTATTTGCGTGTATATGTATGTGTAAATTTATACATTGCAATAACAATGCATGTATGTGATTTTTTACAAAAAGGCTCAGGCCTATCATTTCACAAAAGGTTCATTGGCGCACTCAGTGACTCGTGTGCGACCACTTCGAACTGGATTTCATAGGGTTGACCTTTTTTTTAGACTTCACAGATTGTGCTGTTTCATGCGACAGTTGATTATTCAAAATCTTTGCTACTGACCTCCCCTCCATGCTAGGCAGGGGATTGCGGTAGCTTAGTTTTTGGGTCGTTAACTGTTACGCATTTTATTACTATGTGCATGCATGTGCATCATGATTCATGGCATTATATTAAATATTATGCATCCTATAGCATTATTTATGCATCATGCATCTATTTATCATTACAACAACATCATTTAATAGTAAAACATAATAATACAAACAGTACAGCATATCTTCATAAAACCACTGACAAAGAAAAATCACATAGTTTAATATACCGTGAACAGTATTCAAAACTACTCAACATTTTGGGAAGGGTATTGTAATTTACGAAATTTATTTTCATATTTTATAAAAAATAAATATGAAAATATTTTTTGGCAAAATCGATCGTAAAGGGTTGCTTCGCAATCCAAAAAAAGCACAGTACTAGACTTGATACTGTACGATTCTCTTCCTGTGTCCGTCCGTCGAGATGCTGGAACTCTAGTAGTGACCCCCAATCGACACTGTGTACATCGTATGTAGGTGGGTGGGTGGTGGGTGTAGTAATTTTGATGCCAACCAAACGACACCCGATGAATTTGATTGAAGTTTTGTCCATACTCTGTGCTTTCAAAAGGAGAAATTATACGGGAAGTCACTTTTTTTCCCGTTTTATCACGTTTGATCGCAGTGGCATCACAAACAGTCACAGTACAGTAGTTTTGTATCGCGGGTGATCACAGTGCTATCACGGATGGTCACACCTCGCCCCGAAAAGCTATCACGTTTGGTCACTCGATGAAACGATCATAATTAATTTGAAACCACAAAAGAAACTGTAGAGATCTTGGGGAATCCCAATCTTGATTGCTTGTTACCTCGCGCATGACTCTAGCCTGACATTTAGGGGACTGAAGAAAACAATATACCCATATATAGGATGGTACCTTATTCGGGAGGCATCAACCATAAACACCATGCGACAAGGTGTTTTGGGTTGATGCATGCTGAATCAAATCCCGTCCAAATGGGTTTTTGTTTAATTTTTGTATTGGGTCAGGAATTAACCTTCGATTTTCACCCGTCTAAAAGTGATATTCTTAGGAACATTATGCATAAATCGAATAGTGGACAATCGAATAGGAACAAGAAATTGCAGATGTTTTCTTGAGTTGACGAGAGTTGTCGCGAAACTATTTCGTAACACTACGGACAAAACGGTGCGCACGAGAGAACTTTCCTTGAATCCCTACGGTGACTTGAGTAGTTTCAACTTTCTATCGATCGTGTCAACAAGTGACCAAACGTGATAGCTTTTCGGGGCAAGGTGTGACCATCCGTGATAGAACTGTATCACCCGCGATAGAAATCTACTGTACTGTGACTGTTTTTGATACCCCTGTAACCAAACGTGATAAAACGGGCAAAATTGTGACTTTCCGTATAATTTCCCTTTTTGATGACCAAAGGCGACAACTTCTACCGCACCTTTCGCATTTCGTGCAAGCTCGTTCCTGCTTGAAAGTTTTCGGTGCATGCATCAGGAAAGTCATCCATAGAAAGTTATGTATAGTTGTCCTTTACTTTTGAACCTCCTCGTGCAGCAGCAGAACGGGACAACTTGAAGGCTGAAACTCCTTTTCAGACAAGTCTTTGCGCATCGCTTCTTGCGTTTTCTTTGCGTAGTGTTGTTTCTGAACCTGGGTTGGTTGTGGTATCCCCCGTCGAGTGCGGTAACTCTTAAATCATCTCTCGACTCTTCCCCTCGGTGGCTTGTGCAAGCGTTTCCGACGAACCAGCGACACGACTCGACACGACAGGACAAGACACGACACAAGGGGATAATCGATTGAAATGGCGGCTGCGGATCCACACAAGAGCTCGTCAGGACAGGCAAGTACCCGACGCAAGTACGCGACAACTCAATCACACGACGCCTATGCGTCGCCATTACGCGACGCTATTACCCGGCGCACGTGATGGTCGAACGTTACAGTCCGTCGGAACGCGACGCTCGAGTCGCTGGTCTTCCAAGAGAGTCCCGACCGGCGCTCGGCATTATTCCGGTCGCACATTAATGCAAACCAAAGCCGACTCAACCGCGATCTCGACAATTGCGCTGCGATATCGACGGGTCGCCATTGCGATTCTTGGAGCAAGAACTACGCAATGCATTGCGGTCGAAAACATACGAATTCTCAAGTTCATTCCGTTGGTACCTACCAAAGACGATTGTTTATTCAAAGCGTCGAGGCGGTTCATTGTCACAAGCAATTAATAATGGACGACGAGGTAAGGAGGCCATTTCTGAATGGACTTTTTATATTTAATCGTTACTTGGGTATTTATACTTTACAAGGTTTTGCTAGAAAATATCCCCCCTCCCCGCTTCCCCTTTCTTTCCCCCGCTGTTCGTCACGCCGAGCAGATCAGTCAAGGCCGCGTCGCGATTCTTCCGCACATTGTCGCGGAAGCCATGGCCGCGCTTCGCGTCGCATTCCGCACAGCATCGTCTTGTAAGGAGTCTCTCCTTCTTTCTTTCCCCTCCCCCGCCCCGCAGATCAGCCAAGGCCGGGTCGAAATCCCTCCGCACATTGTCGCCGAGGCCATGGCCGCGCTTCGCGGCAACAAGGGCGAGCCGGCGCTAGACGTGCGCTGGTCTGCGCCGATCTCGGAAAACGAAATGCGCTACGTCGAAGATTACGTCAAAGCGCGCTACCCGGCGATTTTCACGGAGTGCATTGTGGGGCTTGGCTTCCCCATGCCGTGCGTGTTAGAAGAGCCCGACGGCGGCGGGTATCGCGGCGGGAACGGCGGCGGATACGGTGGGGGGTTGTCCCCCATGGCGGAACTTCTCGCGATGGATGACGAGGAGTGGGACGCGGAGGGGGAAGGGGGATACGGCGGAATGGGCGCAGCGGGCGCGGTCTTCGGAAGGAGTAACAGCACCGTAAGCGCGGGGGGGAGCAGCAGCGGAACGGCCTCTCCGCAGTTCCGCGCACACAGCACCAGTCCCACGGCGGCGGGGGGAGGAAACGTGGTTCCGCTGATGCGCGACTCGCTGCAGCAGCAGAAGCAGCAAATGGAGCAGCAGATGCAGCAGCAGAAGCAGCAGGTGGAGCAGCAGCGCAAGATGATGCAGCGCAACGGGCCCCCGCCCTCCTTCTCCGCGTCATCCCCATCGGAAAACAAGTCGCGGCTCTTCTCGCGCTTCGTCCCCTCGGGAACGGTCACTGCGACTCAGCCGGGGCGCGCGCTGTTGAACCCGAGCAGACTGCGGGTAAGTGGAAGTGATACAGAGAAAGAAGGATGGCTGTAACGAGCATGACTGCTGAGAAAATAAAAAGGGAGCGCCGAACTGTCCCAAGCCGGGGCGCGCGCTGCCGAACCCAGGCTGCGGGTGAGTGGATGGGAGAGGGAGAGATATACTCCCAAACCAGGAAGCGTTATGTTAGTGCAAGAGAGGGGCAGAGCTGCTTGTAACGAGGGAGGAGAACCACATTCACACCCCATCCCTTCTGCCTCGTCACCACCCTCCCCCCTCCCCCTTTTCCTGTGTTGGATGGTGCCCCTGCGTTGCCACTTCCCGTTGGGACATTCTCCCCCCCTTTTCCTTCCCCGCCCTCCTCTTCTCCTCCTCGCTTTCCTTCTCCTCCCATCGGGACATCCTGGTGGAGAGTCGCGACGTGCTGGACCTCTCAATCAGCGTGAGCGTCACAGAGCTGCATGCAAGCTGGTACGGCTTCCCTCCCCGTCATCACCTCCCTCCACTCCCCATCCCCCCCTCGCAGGACATCCTGGTGGAGAGTCGCGACGTGCTGGACCTCTCCATGAGCGTCTCTGTCACAGAGCTGCATGCGAGGAGGCGCATTCTGCAGCAGTGCGGCGTGGAAAGTGAGGAGTACCACATCGTCTTCACGCCCTCGGTGCAGGAGGCCATGGTGCTCGTGGCTGAGGCGTACCCCTTCCACCGCCACAACGTGTTTCTCACTGCCTTGGACCAAACCGACGACAGCATCAGCATGTTTGCCACACACAAGGTATGTGCAACGGTTCTTAGTGGTTGAGAGGAGGTGGACGAGAGGGAGGAGAGGGACGAGAGTGGGGAGAGGGAGGAGAGTGAGGAGAGTGAGGAGTACCGCATCGTCTTCACGCCCTCGGTGCAGGAGGCCATGGTGCTCGTGGCTGAGGCCTACCCCTTCCACCGCCACAACGTGTTCCTTACTGCCTTGGACTAGACCGACGACAGCATCAGCATGTTCGCCACGCACAAGGTACGCCCAACGGGTTGAAACAACAGGGACCTTTCCCAGGTCGTGTGGCCGAGGCCTTCCCCTTCCACCGCCACAACGTGTTTCTGACAGGCTTGGATCAGTGTGACGACGGCATCAGCATTTTTGCCTTGCCACACACAAGTTGGGTTGCTCTCTGCCTCTTCTTGTTCCCCGGGTAATTTTCTGGGTAAGGTTGGGGCAGAATGGTCGTGTGGTGCTGGTCGCTTATGCTTACTTCCCCGTCCTCCCCCCCCTCCCCATTCTAACCCTCACCTGACCTCACCCTCTCTGCAGGACTCCAAGGTGATCCAGGCGCCCCTATCATGGCTCGACCTGCAGAAGCCGGGAAGCCAGCTCAGCACCAACTTCCGGCGCAAGAGCAAAGCCAACCCCAAGGTGACTAGTGCAGTGATTTGTAGAATGCCTTGTTTGGTTGGATCCGCAGAAGCTGAGCAGCCAGTTTAGCGGCTGAATTAGCGTTAGTGTTGATGTTGCTTATTGCAGGTTTTGGAAAGATAGTGTGTCGGGCTCTCTGAAATAGTCCGGGACTGCCCTGACAGGAAGAACAGCACCCAACAAATCTCGCTGTTTCTCCCTTCTTCCTCACCCCTTTTCCCCTCTCCATACTACCACTCTCCAGGGTCTTTTCGCCTACCCCATGTGTGCAAACGGCCAAACGTTCTCCCTGCACTGGGTGTCTGAGGCTCAGCGCACCTGCTGGCACGTGCTGCTAGATGTGACCGCTATTGAGCTTGACTCGGGGGTGTTCAATCTGACTTCACATAAGCCTGATTATGTGCTCTGCTGCTCTCCGTATATCGTGGGTTACCCGTACAGGCTATCGTGTTTGCTTGTTAAGAGGGGCTCCCAAAACACGGATTTGTGATGTAGGATGACGTTGTATGGTACTACTATACGAATGTAGTTGCTCTAGGACTAGACTTGGCTAATGACAGCAGAACCATGGCCTCTGAAACTGAGGGGGAACAGCACATTGCGTAAACACATGCTGTGCAAACAGACTGTTTCCCGCAATTAAACAAGACTGAAATACGGTAGGGTCTGTTTCGGTATGGTGCCTGTTCAACAGGCCCGCTTGAACACCCGGCGTGCAGGGCCAGAATCACCTTCACAGAGCATGCCTGCTTTGTTGCATGCGGCTGAAAAGAAGGTTGGCATGTGAATTTTGTAGTTTCCTTCAGGGTGTTTTGATATATATTTACATGTAGCCATTTCTTCTAGTCCATATCTTTGCCGAAAATTTCTGCCTGCTACTAGCGAAGTTTTTCCGATTCGCGGTTGTCACGTTCTCGTTTTACAGGCACCTTCATTTGGCACCATGCGCTCAAAGCACACATGCGGGCCGTCACGCCGCCACCATCGAGTGGAAGTGCCGGACCGCCTTCTTGGGCTGCTTGGAAGCTCCGGCACAGTAAATTGGGGGCTGGCCGCGTTTCCGCGTTGAAAGCTTTTGCAACAATGACAGCCAATCGTATTGCTTCGCAAGCCCCGTGATGGGCTCGTTACCACACCGCGCTGAACCACAAGATGTAATCTGACGGTCGATATCCAATCTTTTAAGGAGGTCATTCGGTTCAACTTCGTTTCACGCGCGACGTCGTCCGGGCAGCCCGACCACTTTCGCTGGTTGCCCTGCTTTTGCGTCACAAAGGTCTCCCACGGCCTCGTTGATGCGACGCGATAGCCACATCATACTTCCTCCTGCCCGCACGACCCATCCAGATGCTGTTCGTTTTTTATCAGCTTGGCTTACCAGAGAACTGTACCTCCACACGAGTCTCTACCAACCATGCGTTATCAATTTGAATCAGACTGAACCGTATCCAAATGCCTTCTCAACCTCAGTATCCCCGTCCCATCACCACCACTCACACTCGTCACTCCCAATGCTATTTTCCCTACAGGGGTAACCTTCTTGACATATCTTCTGTCCCCTGTCTATTCAACCGCCATTTCCGCCCCGGCCTTCACGTCCATCAACACCCCGTCTTCCCAGGCGCCACCCTGGGGTTCCGCCTTGCTTCTTTCCCCACCTTAGCCATCCGCTCCGCACCGCAGCAGTCGCTTTCCCAGACTTCCAATCTCTCCACCACCCTTATAGTCATTGTGGTTCCTACCTTGGGCTCCTATTGCCCTTACCACCACCAAGGGTCACTGTGCGAAGCATCAACACTGATCCGTCTTGGCCAAACCACGGCAAGAATTCAGATTAGCTTCCTCACCTTCTCAAGCCCTGGATTTCTAGTGCTTATGGGCGTCTTGCTTCGATTCAATACTGATTCGCTTAGAATAACATTAGAGAGCTCTTAACTCAACTCGAGCTCCCTTTAGGTCAGTAGTTCCGCGCTTTCGCCCACGCGTAGCAGTGTGCGCGCCTTTTTGAAACTATCGTGCATCGCGCAAGTTAAACACCAGATTGTTTCAATGGGGACGCATGCTGATAACAGCTCCGTCCTCTCCTTCCCTGCAACCGCCAAACTCCCTCCCGCCATGGCTTGGTGTCAATTCGCTCCGGTTTTTCAGTCATCAGACCTGCCGGCATCCCCGCCGCCGATGTTGCCGGTCGCCGGCGAAGCTGACGGTGAGCCGCTGCCGGTGTCCGGCAAGTCCATGATGGAGTGGAAGGACTCGGTTGTCCGAGCGGCTGCAGCGATGGGAACGACGCCGGCAAGTGATTCGTTCGACTCGTGTTCCTCCGATACAAGCTTATCTGATACAAGCACGTCGGAGTCCGCGGCCCTTACCTCTGAGTGGAGCTCTAACTCGTTACTTAGTCTAAGCTCGACTCGCTCCGAAGAAGCGGAGGACCTAAGTAGCACTGAGGGGTCTGGGGCCGCATCCCCTGGCAGTCTAGGTATGGCGGCGGTGGCGGCAGCGGCGGATTTACGGAGAGTGCTGCTACTGGCAGAAAACGCGGGAAAATTGGAGGAACTAGCGGAGAATGCGGCGAGGATGGGCCTGGTAGCAGAAGCGCAAGCGCTCACGTTGAAGCTGGAGCGAGCAGCAGATGATCCGGCGGAGGGTTCGGAGACTGCTGACCAGGTTGCTGACATCATTGATACCGCTGGCCCTGCGTCGCCTGCCGTTCCTTCCGCTCCTGTAATAAAAGCATGTCCTGCAGCAGCCGCCGCCGCCCCGCCCGCCACATTTGTCGCGATGCAGCGACGGTCCGCCACGAGCCGCGCCGTGCACAACGCCGCCCGGCGCGACGACGTAGAGGAGCTTCGAGCGCTGCTGGCGGAAAACCCGGAGCTGATTAACGCGCGGTCGAGCCTGGTGAGTGGCGGAACCAGGTTTGCGCCGTTTCAGGCACAGGATCGCTCAATCCTCGCGTCTCATTTTTCATACGCACCCCGCAAGTTCCACACACCTTGCTCTCCATTCTCACAATCCCCCCCCCTTCACTTCTCCCCCCCTCCCCCCTTAACCCACCTTCTCTCCTTCCCCACTTTCCCTATCTCCCCTGCCCGCCTCCCCCGTCCCCCGCTAACAGACGTGCCAAACCCCCCTGCACGAGGCGGCGGCGGAGGATGCGGCGGAGGCGATTCGTCTGCTTCTCTCGGTCGGGCGACCGCTCTCAAAAGCGGCGATTAGCCGCGCGGACGGGGAGACGAGAGAGGACGCATCAGGCGCGGTTCCCGCAGACGTCGAGGCGCGTAATATGGTGAGAAACGCTGAACGTGCTGCTTCTTTCCGTTATCCCCCCTCCGCATGTCCCCGCTCCGCAATGTACTCTCTGCAACCTTCCCCTCTCTCCATCTCAGTCCCCCTCCCCCCCAAGTTCGCTCCCCTCTTTCTCCGCAGTTACCTTCATCTTCCCCGTTTCACGCTTCTTCCCCGCTTAATTTCCCACACCACCCCCTCCTCCCGCCCCCATCCCCGTTTTCCCCGTTCAGTTCGGCGAGACTCCGCTGCACATCGCCGCCAAGATCGGCAGCGCGAGGAGCGTCAGGGCGTTGCTCGAGGGCGGCGCGGCCGTGAACGCCGCTGCTTCGGTGAGTGGCAAAACGACGCGGATTGGAATTTCTAATTGTTGGGGATAGGGCTGGAACGTGCTTTTAGCTGGCTGTGGAGTGAGCAACGCGGGATTAGGCGGGGGGCATGGGGATATGGCAGGTCGTTCCGCGAAAGTCGATTTTCATGTGCCCCCGACGTCCTACCATCCCGTTCATTCCATCTGGCTGTCCTTCCTCTTGTCCACATTATTGAATCCCAGGCCCTCTGATTACCCTCCTGCTTCCTTCTCCGTTGCATCACTTCAATCACTCGCAGACTCGCTTAATGCTTTATTTCTGGTCATCATTCCCTTTCCATTGCAGAACCTCGCCACGCCGCTCCATCTCGCCGTCTGGGCGGCAGTCAACACTGCTGACGTGGGTGATGCTCCGGCTGGATCGGGCCAGCCGAAGATTCTGGAAGTGGTGGAGCTGCTGCTGCAGCACGGTGCTGACGTGGCAACGCAGGACAAGGACGGCAACTCCCCATTGAGTCACATTCAATTAGGCACCTCTTCCGCTACAAGCACCAGCAACAACAGCAGCATCCGCGCCTCCCTTCGGCGAATCCTCGACCGCCACGTGGCACTCCACGCTCCCTCCCCTTCTTCGTCCCAAACCTCCCCCGCCTCCGCATTCGCCGTCATGCAAACGCTGGAAAACGAGTTATCCTCGTTAATAGGTCTCCCCCTATTGAAGCAGCAGCTGCGCGTGTGGGCGAAGGGCTTAGTCTTGGACCAGAAGCGGCGGGAATTGGGAATCCGCGTGCAGCCGCGCAAACCTCCGCACATGGCTTTCCTAGGCTCCCCGGGTACAGGGAAGACCACCGTTGCGCGCGTGCTTGCGCGGCTGTTGAATTTAGTGGGTGTTTTACCCATGGATAAGGTGGTTGAGGTTCAGCGGACGGATTTGGTGGGCGAGTTTGTCGGGCACACGGGCCCGAAAACGCGGAGGAAAATTCTGGAGGCGGCTGGGGGGATTCTTTTTGTCGACGAGGCGTACCGGTTGGTGCCGCAGCAACGGTCAGATGAAAAAGACTATGGTGCGGAGGCATTGGAAGAGATCATGTCGGTGATGGACTCGGGCAGTGTTGTTGTGATTTTCGCTGGTGAGTGTTGGTTGCTTGGATTGATGGGAAGCAGCGGAATACTGGACATTTCACTACTGTGTAGTGTAACTTATTGATAGCTTTTCATATGTATCAGTGTTTCATCTGTACTCTTCTTAACTTCTCTTACCTTATCACCCCTGCCCTCCTTCCCTCCATTCCAGGCTATGCTGAGCCGATGAAGCGGGTCTTCGCAGTGAATGAGGGATTTCAGCGGCGTGTGTCGCGTGTATTCGTGTTTGACGATCTCTCTCCACTCGACATTGCCCAAGTCATATTGCTGAAAATGAAGCAGGCGGCTGGGGAAGCTACTAGCGGAGATGAGAGTGATGGTGACTGTGCTATCTGCAGTAGCAGCAGCAGTGGTAGCGGAAGTGACCATGGAGCAGGAGCCAGTGGCAGCAGCAACAGTGACTATAGTGAAGCCAGTCGGCAGTCGCCCCTTGCAGGATTCAGGTAATTATTTGTAGAAATACAGTTTTACTTATAACACTTGACCATCTCTGTGCACATCTATTTCCTGTATGCGCCTTCTCATACCATGTACACACTTGCTCCTTCAACCTCCCCCTCACTCCTCTCCCTCCTGTCTTGCATTCCCCTCTCCACTGCAGGTTGCATCCCAGCATAACTCCATCGTCCCTAGCAGCTGTTATCACCCGATCAACCACAGAGGAGCAGCGAAGGCAGAGGAACGGTGGGATGGCGCTGCCTGTGCTAATGGACGCTCGGGATCGACTGGACGAGCGGCTAGATCTTGACTGCTGCGACATGGACGAGCTTGTGACTATAACGATGGAAGACATTGAGGCAGCTCTGTCAAACATTCCTCAATAACAACCCTGAGTGTGCTTCTAAGGAATGGCATGCTTGGGCCAAGTCGCTGGGGCGAGGTAGCGAGGCTGACAGCAAGTGATGATTTGTGCTCCAGTTACACTGTTGAAGCAGCAGAGCTGGACGGGCTGCCTGAAAAACTTCTGAGTCCAAGCAGTAGGTGACTTCAACGCAATGTCAATCCATGTGGCTCCTTTCAAGCAACAGGCCCCCACCTGTCAGGATCCAGGTAGTGGGGATTTGTAGGATGGAGATAGCTGTCTGGAAAGGCAATAAGCTGCAGTGCAGCAGCAATAGATTGCTGCTGATTGGCTGGCAAGCTGAAGCTGGCAGCTGCATCAGTGAGAATCTGCAAGCCTAGTTTACAGGGTAACCAGACAGCAGGTAGGGTAACCTGAGCAACGAGCATGGCCTCTCTCATAGCCCAGGGCCAAGTAACCAACCTGTAACTGCTTTGTGGCAATGGTTAGTTCAGATAGCTAGAGAAGTTGGCTATGTAGTTTACTAGCACTATAAGGTGAGGAGTTGACTGCTCTGTTTGTCTTAAAGCGTATTCCTACGGCCTCATATCAGGCCACCCCGTATCGAGATTGTACTTTTTGCCTGGTAAAACTAGCGAGAGGTTTAGGGGAATTTTTAGTGTGAGCTTGATATGAGGTTCTCTTGATAAGAGGTTAGGAATACGCTCTAAAGAGATCAGATCATTTTTCATCAAGGGTCACAAAATGGGGCCATCTGCCTAAGGTGTTGAAGCATGATTTTTTCTTTCGGTAGGTTGGCTGGCTCCATTACGTGTTCCAAACAATTACCGTATTGTCTTGGCAAAAAGTCACAGTTCTCATACATACAGTACATGCACACTCCTATGTGAACCTAAGCAAACAAGTTACGCAGTTACGGCTGCCTGCGGTACTTGTCATGTAAATCTTGAGCATATGCAAGGACTCTGAGGAAGACAAAGAGGAGACAGCAAGAGGAAATAAAATACAGAAAAGCAGACATACGTGTAAGAGACAACAGCGAGTGGGAAATTGCACACACATGGTAAGGAGTTGGCAGAGGGAATTGATCCTGGTTACAACATACTGTACAACAGGCAACCAGCGACATGGATAGGAGCGGGTGGGTTGAGGCACATGCATGGGGTTGACACACATGGATGGGTTTGAGGCACATGCATGGGGTTGACACAGCTGGATGGGGTTGAGGCACATGCATGGGGTTGAAGCACATGGATGGAATTAAACACAAATGGATAGACGCACATGCATCATTCTTATCGGTAGGTTATGCAGTTGCATGTTCACGCCGAACCTACCTAGCTTCTTCCACCTTCCCATCCACCCACCTGTCTCCCCTAAGATCCAAATAAGGTGCTACCCTATCCCACACATTACCTTCTGAAACCCCTTCCCCCACCACACCCCCTGAAGATTCCATATCCAGCCTGAAGGCTCCCCCTTATCCTGAAGCCTACACACAAGCCTGAAAGTTCCCCTCCAACTTAAATGCCTTCCCCGTTCGACTGGAAAGTCCTCCACAGCCGGAAGCCTCCCCGCAACCCTTCCAACCACGACATGCCCTCCTCACCTTCATGACCCTCCCTTCTTGAACGATTCAAGGGAATCGAACCTCCTCATTGACACGATTCCTGCTCACGTCAAGGTCGCGGCGGCGAACTACAATACCTATAAGGACATCGTCAGCGCAGCCGAAAAGTTCGACGTGTTTCGCACGCCTCTCTCCCCACCTCTGACCAAACAAGGCATGTGCGAAATCCCGGCGCTCTCCATCCATCTTCGAGCTGCCTACTATAAAACGGCCCGCTGTCACGTGGCTTACTCCAATCGCAATCGCAGGTGATCAGGACAAATGGCGTGAAAAGACTTCTACATTGCTGGACAGGGGCCGCATGCATCGTTCTTATTTTTCATTTCAAAAAACTCACTTGCGTGCGCTCGCGTCGACATTTGGCACGTCGTAATTCTGTCCGACGTATATCCCCACCACCGTTCCCGCTAAGAAGCTCGTCACGGCCTTGTTATAAAACACCACGTTGGCCAAGAACGTCCCGACGAAGGTGCGGACGAGAGCCATGCGCAAGTGATGCCAAAAGGGTTACCGCATATCGATTAATGAAATCGGGTTGAGACTACCTCTGCTCCTATCAACCTTGAAAGCGAGCGGAACAAAAGCAGGAAGTCGAAGGTTGGGGGCACGGAAAGGGGCCAATCTACGTCTCGTTCATTTAGAAACAAGTTCTCACTGGCGTGGGAAGGCGGCCTATGTTCTGAGCTTGTCAGAGCGCCTAGTTTCCCGCCCGTTTCGCGCTCTGGCTTCAATGAGGTCGGTTACCAAATTCGTCAGGAGCGAGTTCGTTTGGTGGTTCGGGTTCCACGCCCGTGAAGAGGGCTGTACCACTGCGCAACAGGTGGAAACCTGGAAAACCGTACTCAACCACTAGCGGAGGTACGGGCAGGTTCGTTCCGAACCAGGTGGTTAGTTTCCTACAAGCCACTTTGCTTGGCTCCCTCCCTCCTACCATCACAGCAATCGTCCCAAGCCTGTCACGAGTGCTAGTTTTCCGACAGAAACATACCCAACCATTTTGGATGCCTGGAAAACTCCCTGAACCGTGATGAAGCGAACTTGTGTCACACCTCATGGTTCTTTTGCATCCCAACTGGCTTGTCCAGTCCATCCCTTCCTTAGCTTGTCCCTTCTACTTTCTCAAGCTTTCCTTCGCTTCACCAAGCTCATTTAGTAACGCGGCTTGATTTGACCAGCTGTGCTTCCAATAGGAAAATCATGGACGGCGAGGAAGGCGATGAGTTTAAAAAAGCCTCGGCGAACCCGGAGGAGACGGCTAAGAACGGTCAGAAAAAGACTATGGAAGGTCCGAAGGAGGGTAAATCCGCGCCAATGAAGTTCTCTTTAGGAAAACTGAAAGGCGCGGCGAAGGTTTCGCGAAGGGCGCAGGAGAAGAAGGACGAGGAGTGCGAGCAGCGCGAGTTGATAACCGCCGTCGATTTCACCGGCTTGGTAGCTAAGGACGAGTCCAAGTCGAAGCGCGGGCCGAAGATCATTTCTCCGCTAGAGGACACGTGGAAGCCGGAGAAGCGGATGAAGAGTGTAAATCCGGAAATGGAGGAGATTATGGGAGGTCCGGAAAATAAGTTCGATATGGGTACTGCGGGATCCTTACCTGGAGGGGAAGGAAAAGAGAATGCTGATGGAGCGGACGAAGCTACTGGCGGTGTTCGATACGGTTTGACCGTCAGATCTGCTCCGGAAAGGTTTGACGATCGAGATCAACGGCCAATTATAGATCATGAAACCCAGAAGCTACAGGAGGATCTTGATCGTCTCCCAGACGAATCGAATTTGGACGACTACCAGTCTATGCCTGTAGAGGATTTTGGAGTTGCGCTTTTAACGGGGATGGGTTGGCAGAAAGGCAAGCCGATTGGTCGCAACGCCAAGGGATTGGCTGAACCTGTGGAGTTCGTTCCAAGGCAGGGACGCCTGGGTCTAGGAGCTACTCCGAAGCTGCTGGAGAACAACAAGAAGTTAATCAAGCCTGGGGAGACCCGGGGGCCCAAGCCGGACCTGGTTGCTTCGACCGGACCAGACGGGAAGGTTCGGCATGTGAAGCCGATTTCAGAGAAGCTAGTGGAGAGGGTGAGGCCTGGGCCTGCCAAGGGGAAGGTGATGAGGATAGTAGAGGGACGGCATGAGGGGTTGACAGGGGAAGTTCTTGAAGTGGTGGAGTTGGGAGATGGGAAAGGGATTCAGGTCAGGCTGGTGCTTGTGAGTAGTGAGGAGGTGATTGTAGTGAAGGGGAAAGAGGTGGCGGATATGGGGTCGTGGGAGGAAGAACAGGCAATGAAGAGGATACGGGGTGAGGGGGCTGGGGAACAGAGGAAGGTGAAAGAGAATGATCATGCGGGGAGGAGGAAGGCATTGGAAAGGGAGGAGACAGAGGAGGGAGAGAGGAACAGAGGGAGAAGGGAGGGAGGGAGAGAGGTTGAGAAGCGCATTGAGAAAGGGAAAGGTGATTGGTCTGTGGCCAGGGACAGAGACCGGGAGCGGGAGGGGGGAAAGGACAGAGAAAGAGGTGGTGAATCGGATAGACATGAAGGCAAGGAGAGAGAGAGAGAAAAGGACAGGGTGAATGAGCGCGACCGGATCAGGGACAGCGACAGGGATAGGAACAGGGACAGGGACAGTGAGAGGGGGTATGGCCGTGAAAGGAGAATGGACAAGGAGAAGAGCAGCAGAAAAGAAGACAAGCGTGAACAGGTTTCAACTAGGCAACGGGCCGTACGGGAACCATCCCTCTCACCTCCTCCTCCTCCTCGTCGGCGACCGTGGTTAATGCCGCATATTCGAGTGCGCATTGTGGATAAGCGCATATATGGGGGGAGGCTTTACTTGAAGAAGGGGACAATTGTCGATGTTGTCACACCAACGACGTGTGATGTGCTGCTGGATTCGGGGTCATCGGAAGCTGGTGAAAGAAGTGGGAATGGGGTCAGCAGCAGAGGCAATTTGGTCCAGGGATTGAAGGAGCAGGAAATGGAAACAGCTCTGCCGAAGAAAGGTGGTCGCGTTATGATTCTTTGTGGCGCTAATCGAGGGCAGGTTGGAAAACTTTTGGAGAGGAGAGGAGAGGAAGGTGTGGCTGTGGTCCAGTTGGCAGAGTCATTCGCTCTGGAGCGACTGGCAATGGATGATGTGGCAGAGTATGTTGGGGAGCTGGGCAGCTATGAGGGCTAATTGCCGTTTGTTGTGCAAAATGCGGTTTCATGCTGGCACATTTGCACCGCTGAGCATGCAGAGCATCTACAGAAGGATTCGAAATATTTGTTACCTCAAATTGAATCCTAAACGGTTACTTTGAGCAACTTCGTTTCTCACAGTTCTCAGGTGTGCATGCATCAGCACATGCGATGCAAGCCTTGGCTGCTTAGTGCATGCTCCATGTTTGGACTGATAATGGGTGTGGTGGTGGCCACTTGATGGTGCTCAGCTCACAGCTTCTTTAGGGGAAAGGTTTATTTTTTCTTTAATGATAGTGAGACATATAAAGCATTGCAAGTGCATGAACATAAATGACATCCACTGCGCATGAACTAGCTGACAGTAGGGGCCCTCACAAAAATCCTCCGGCAAGGATGTCAATATCACTGTACGGACTGGCTTGCTTGACCTTGAGGTAGTTCATCGTTGCAAGAACTGCCAAGAAAAGAAGATTGTACGGTAGGCATGAAAAATGAAAGCAGGCTGCAGGTAATGGCACCAGGGCGCAGAAATGTGCTAGACTTACCACATGTTTGGTAAAAGATGCGGGCGGCTTGCTGCCTATTGCAGTCTACTAGAAGTTCATGCAGTGATGCGAATTTTATTTCTGGATTGCTGAAGACTTGAAGGCGGAAAAATCTGCAAGCACAAAGCCTGAGTGACTGACACATTCAGCCAGCAGTTGTTACAGAGGGATGTAGTCCTGCTTACCCAGCAAGAGATGCTGTCCTCTTGTCAATGGAAGTTGCAGGGAACTGTGTCTGTGTTGCATCCGTTTCTTGCAGGGGCTCAGATACACCTGAAATAAACGAGTGCTTTCTATATGATTTCAAACAAAGAAGCCCAATAAAGCAAGAAAGGCACTCACCAAACTGGCTCAGTGCACCTCGCAGTGCACTGCTGCTATGTTTGGAAGAAAGCTTTTCAGCACTCTGCCCAGGAAATTGAGCAGTTAAATCATCAGCCAGGTTTTGAGGAATCTGTGGCGAGCCTTCCATCAAGAAATCTGCTATGTTTTGAGGACGGTTTCTGCAAGTTCACAGTTGAAGTGGCTTAGTAAGAACGAAAACAAAGCAGCAACCAAGTGCAGAAGTCGGACTCACCCTCTATAGAAGTCTGGTTGATTTTCCTCCTCCATTGGAAGAGGGACCCCACCCGAAGAGTTCTTTGTTCGTTCAAGATCCAAAAGCCCTGCAGGGTGTTAGGTGAAGTATTAGAAAACGGATGGAGCTTGTGCAATAAGGTGACGACACAATGACCAACCTTGAGCAGGTGGAGTCACGTCATCACGTCTTACGCCATTTCCTGCCACCACTGGCGTCTCATTTCTTTCCCTCATAGCTTCAGCAGATCCGAAATCATCAAGCATGGCCTGATTTGGCATCTCAGGGTCCTGCGAGGTCAAATGATTAATGATCTTGAGCTAGAGACAGCATTGCAGAATAAAACCGTGGAGTATGGTTATGGTAGGTACCTTGTCACTTCCACTTTCCATACGAGCTTTCTTCGAGGCATGCATCTCTGCAAAGGTCAGACAACCTCGATAAGAAACAAGGGGGGAAAGGTTTATAGCACAAACAGCTGATGTGGAAGTTGAAGACACCTACCGTCTGTTTCAGGATTGCTTCTGAATGTGTCCTTTCGTACATATCTGTTCCACGTCCGCAGCATTCCTTTGGACCATCTGGAAGCTACAAACCCGTCCATTGTGACACTTCCAGTCAAGGGAAGGTCAATGAGAGATTCAATGGATTTTTCCAAAAGCGCCTTCCGATCCTGGAATTGGCAGAAACATTAAAAGTGGTCCACATCCTGGGAAAGGTTTACAATCCGGTCATACCTTCTTCACCCTTCCAATAATCTTTGACGTGTCTTGCAGCCATCGGTTGAATTCCATCGGGGCCACCTCTGTCCTATCCTCATCCATAACAACTTTCTTTGGGCGCGCCTTCCGTTTAAGCTGCCTAGCTCGCTTTGGAGCCTCATTTTGTTCAGGCTGCCACATTGCAAGGAGCGCTATGAGACTGCAATGCTTAATGTGCGGAACCTGTAAAAGCGAACCCATACATACCGACTCGGGTGCAGCAGTCTGGTCCCGATTATTTTGTGGTTGGCCTGCTTCCTGCTGGTCTTCTATGATGGTCTCCGGATGAGTACCTTGAGGGGTGCTCGGCTTCGGCGAATTCATCCCTGAAATTTAGATTCAGAGTGCAACTTAGAAACAACAACATTCAGGATCGTCCACACTTAGCAGACAGGAAGCTGGGTTTACCCTTCAGAATGTCTTGCCACATAGCGTCAGCAGCACCTTCGTCTTGAAATGTCATAGGTGGTTGATCATCAACCCCAAACCTGCGCATGCATGTGTAGATAAGTCATCTGAAAAGGAACAGCTGTCTCAACAACTTTCAAATCTCACCTGGTGAAACCTTCGTTGTCATGTTGCAACTCCGGAAGGGTAATGTCCGCAGGTGTCGCTGGAACATCAAATGAGTTAGCTTAAGCCGAAAGCCCACTGTTCAAAATAAGCAGGTGCAGGCTGAAAGCTCACCCAAAGTGTGCTCATTTCGGCCATCACGTGCAACTTCTGGTTGAGGAAGCACAAAGAACTCCTGAAAAGTGCATTCATGATTGAGAATGGATGTTGCGGTCTTGCTTACAAGAAAAGCCTGGGAGCATCTTACATTTGTCTGGTCCCCAGGGGCACGACCAGAATCAAGAGTGACGTCAACGTTGAAGCTACCAAACTGGTAGTCGACCGTAACACTCTCAAATCTGTGACGCTTGTGGTTAGCTGCAAGAATGAGAACAACGTAATTATATCTATAGGTCAAACAACCAACCTTGCTTGGCCTTTCTCCCTCGGCAGCGTTTTGTCATCTCGCTTCACACCCAGGGCCGCGTTAATCTTTGCCTGCGCAGAACGCAGCGCGGCGTGAGTCCAACTTTCTCACACGCGAAGCGAAATAGGATAAAAAAACTCTTCCCACCATGAAAGCTTTGGCATCCTCCAGAAGAAACGTGACTTTCTTTGAATACACAATGACAGCACCGCCTGTAGAACAAACCATACGCAATCAGTATCGTGTCCCTGGACGCGGTTTCAAAGACACGTGCGTCAATTTATACCCATTAGGATCCCGGAGAGACGGAGAGCAAGTGGAAGTTCAGGCTCTAATATCCGGGCGCAGATGTCTCGAATGTCAATAAGTGCAGCCTTTTTCCGGTTTATGCTTCCTTGCATCATGGCGGCGATCCTGTTGAGGCAAAACAGGTGTTTGCTTAACTGGCGGAAAGCATGACGTGCAACAACTGACTTGCGGACTCTGAACCGTACCATATTTGGCCGAGAGGGCTTTTCCTCGAAAGCAAGGAGTTTGAGTAGAACATGGTTAATCAGTGGACAAGCAATGAGCTGTAGTCGTGTCTTCAGCTAACTGGGTCGAGGGCGACAGAGATGCAGGAGAATGTAAGAAACTAGTGCTATTCGACTATTTGTCAACAGAGGTGGTCTGCTTTTGCTGACAAAACGGGAGCATAGCCAACCTTGAGCTTGCCGTGCTTGGTTGGTCATTTTGAAACTGGGAGGCCATTGATTATTCACCAAGCACGGTCGAGCAGCGACAACTTCAAAGGAAGCTCGCGGAATCGAAGGGTTCAACTTTTGACTTGTTTAAGCACGTACATTTAAAGGGAGGTCCTACGAATTCATAAGAGCACACCCGTACCGTACCGTACCGTACCGCCAAACAGCTACGTAAACCGCACCAAAGTGGTATCAGCCCTAACACAGCGAGTGTATTGGCCCTACTACATTTGCATTCATTGCTCGGTAATAGCTTACTGTAAGGAAAAACCCTTTTTCTTACTTCGCGTCCCTGCTCAGCGCGTACAACACTGACAGCACCCCACAATATCCCGTTACCACTCGCGACATTCGCCCCGACACCGTTCCCGCCACTGTTCACGATGCGACCCAACCACACGGTTCGGTTGGTAACCCGCGCTCCGGACCTCCGCCTCGACAGTTCCCCAAACCTCGGGATTAGGCCCGTCGCGCGCCCAATTTTCCCACGTTACCGTTGCCACCATAGTTTCGCTATATATTCTTCGCTCATTCCTTCGCTCATTGTATCTTGTCTCGATAGTGCAATCCTCGTTCGCTCACTCAATTGCACTCGTAACACTTGGTTATCAGAGCCTACGATCTTCTCTCGGACCGCACCCACACCTTCGCTTCCCCAATATCATTTTTTTTGGGGGGGGTATACGTCTCTCAGCAATCAAGCACCGCCGCTCGAAGTGCTCTCTCGTAAGCACGCACGGCCACGACAGAGGCTCTCGCTGAGCTTGCCCGACACCCCCGCCATGGCAGAACTCAACGTCGCGACACTGACACAGGAGCAATTAGATCGGCTCATGCGCCAACTCGAAGAATCGGCGCTTGAAATCGCCACACTCACGGCGGAACGCGACTCCGCTCGCCAACAATCGACAGTGAATGCACCACCGCCAACACACGCACCTGCACATTCGGAGGAGCCTATTGTCATCTCCTCCAGCACACCGACACCGAATGACAGCGTGGGACAACGCTCAGGCGCAGCCAGTGAAGGCGCCGCTCACTCGATGCCGGGCATGGAGAGAAACAGGACCGCACCAAGCCCACGGGAGCCCCGCGAGTCCCGTCGGCACGTGGAATTTGCGACGACAAGTGGCGAATATGCTGTCACGGCACCAATGCCACTTAAGCCGCAGCGTCCGCCCTGTTTCGACTCGAGCCAGCGTGGGGGTCCGACGGTTCAGTCATGGGTCTTCACGATGAACGTGTTTTTCGACGCCAATTACGTCGAGTCGGACGCAGCGAAGATTCGCTATGCTGTTTCGCTGCTGAGGGGCCCCGCCATGGACTGGTGGCGAGTCATCGTGACGTCGCCACGCGCCTACGAGCCACCGTCGCACGAAGACGGGCCCACGGGCCCAGCCGTCACCTGGAGTTCATTCTGCGAGACAGCCCAATACAGCACGTGGGATGCGTGGTGCGCAGGGCTTCGGGCGCGTTTCGAGCCGATCGCGGCTTCGATTTCGGCGCGTCAGAAGCTGCGCACTTGGCGGCAGCTCGGGTCGGTTCAAGATTACACTAGCGGCTTTCTCGCACTGTGCGAACAAGTCGGCTATATGCACGAAGCGGAGCGGGTGGACCGTTACGTCGGAGGGCTAAAGCCGGACATGTCGCACGAAATTATGCTACGCAGGCTCTCGAATTTCAACGAGATCCTCGCGCTCGCCGAGAAAATCGACATCCTACGGCGACCGAGACCGGGGTCCTACTACGGACAACGTCCTCGGGGGCCGACCGAGCACGCCACCGTACACGCCGTTGCGACGAATGCAGCTGCTGTACCGTTTAAGGGGCGCTGCTTTGCTTGCAATAAGCCGGGCCATCGCAAAAGTGAATGTCCAGAGGAGCTAAGGCGCCGTGGAACAGAGCAAGGGCGAGAGTCTCGGAGGCCGGGAAACGCCAGCAGTCAGTAGAAGTTGGGCCAACTACTGACGAGACTGCCTGCTCGCCCAACTTCACCGACCCTCACCGAGTCACAGTACCGATTCACGCTATCGATCGGGCTCGGACAAATAAGGAGGGTACAGCGACGGATTGCCCAGTACTGATTCACGGGAAAATACAGGGAGCAGCAGTGAAGATTTTTATAGACGGAGGTGCAAGTCACAACTTAGTTAATACCGCGACTGCGAGGAAGCTGCAACTGACACTTAGTCGGTGCTTGCCAGAGATCGATGCACGCTTAGTTGACGGAACGCCGCTGGCCATACGGGAGAAAGTGGAAAGAGTAAAATTCCGCTGTGGGGGGAATTTCGGGTTTACACAGGAAATGCTCGCGACGACATTGGATAGGCACGACATTTTACTGGGACGTGATTGGCTGCGACGATACAACCCGCGAATCGTCTGGACGACAGGCAGCTGCACTGTGCGAAGTAGTGGTAACTGGGTGGAGCTACCTCGCTGGCACTCGCCTGAGTCTTCAACGGTCCACATCAACGCCATCACGATGAAACGGGCTGTTGCCGCTGGAGCTGACGTGTACGCAGTGGATATCGCGATAGTGGAAGAAGCAGACAAGCCGAGTGATTTTCAGAAACTACTAGCGGCAGTACCATCGGAACTACAGGAACTGTTGAAACGATTCCCGGGAATCTTCCCTGACGACTTACCCGAAGGACTGCCACCTCAGCGGGCGCACGATCACCGAATAGGATTAGAGCCCGGGGCACAGCCAACCGTACAGCGACAGTTCAGACTGACACAGCCCGAGCTCGACGAGCTAAGGAAGCATTTAGATTACCTGTTAGAGAAAAAATTCATCCGACCAAGCTCATTGCCATTCGTCGCACCGATACTGTTCACACCGAAAAAAGACGGTGGGTTTCGCATGTGTATCGACTACCGAGCACTGAACAGGGTTACAGTTAAATCGCGATACCCCATCCCCCGAGCTGACGAACTGATAGATCAACTGCGAACAGCACGAGTCTTTTCGAAAATTGACTTACGGGGAGGTTACCACCAGATTAGGGTCGAACCGTCGGACTGCGCCAAAACAGCTTTAGAACTAGGTACGGGTCGTTCGAATACACGGTAATGCCTTTCGGACTGACCAACGCACCGGCGACTTTTCAGATGACGATGAACGAGGCGTTTAGGCCACTCTTAGATAAATGCGTTATCATCTACCTCGACGACATCCTAGTCTACAGTCGGGATAAGCAGCAGCACTTAGAAGACTTAGAAGCAGTATTTACAGTTCTAGACAAACACAGACTACTGACAAAGGGTTCCAAGTGCGAGTTTTTTCAGGACAGGCTAGAGTTTTTGGGGCACGTTATTTCGGAGGCTGGAGTAGAAATCGACCCGAAGAAATTGGACACGGTAAAAGCATGGCACCCCCCGACGAACATCACGAAACTGCTGAGTTTTTTGGGTTTTGTTAATTACGTACGCCGGTTCGTCCCCGACATGGCACGCTTAACGGCCCCGCTTACGGATTTGCTGAGGAAGGGGGTCGCTTTTACGTGGGGGGAGAAAGAGCATGCTGCCTTCTCCACCCTAAAAAATGTTCTCTGTTCACCGCCGGTACTGTGCATCGCCGACCCACACCGCCCATTCGAAGTGGTTACTGATGCAAGCGACATCGCCATCGGAGCCGTACTGCTCCAAGACGTCGGCAACGGGTTACAGCCCATCGCCTATGAATCACGAAAGCTGCATCCACCCGAGAAGAATTATCCGATACATGATCGCGAAATGCTTGCGATCGTGCATGCGTTCAAAATGTGGCGCTGTCACTTGACGGGCGCCGACGTGACAGTACGAACAGATCACAAGTCACTACAGTACCTCCGCGCACAACCCCACCTCAACCCACGACAGATCCGCTGGCTCGACTACCTCGAGTCGAATTTTCACTACACGGTTACCTACAAAAAAGGGGCATCGAACATCGCCGATGCATTAACCCGACCCACTGCCCAAGTTCACGCCATACTACTCGCCCAGACCAGCCCACTGTTAACAGGCCTATTTACCCACGGTTACCAAACTGACCCATTTTTTACAGGCGGAAACTCGCAGAAATTTGCAACAGCAAGAGGAGTCTATTACGTAAAAGCCGGCACCGATCGCATCTGGGTACCGGGCAACACACTTCTACGGGAATTACTGTTGCAGGAGGCACACGACGGGGTTACTGTGAGAATCATGAGAGGAATGAGTGAACTAAGAAACAGGTGGGGTACAAGTAGCAAACACAAAAGTATTGTACCCTCTAAGGACTACCCCACTACAGCCTAAACAGACTATAGCATATATTAGTTTGACACACCCCCATAGGCAAAGTGGGGGAGAACAAGGGGTCACAAGACCAGTCAAGAAGGTAAAGCAAGCTCAAGGTGGATCACAAAGTCACCACGCAGTCTGAGCACAAGCAAAGGGCCATAAGGCCAGTTCACATGCAGAGTTATATAAAGGAAAGCAAACAATACAGCGAACACAACCTAGCAAGTGTAAGCATGCAGGTATAAGTACATAGAGTACCGTACAAGCAGAGTCAAAAAGTCAGCAGGTGAGGCACAGTAGGTACAAGGCCTAACACAGTACAGAAACGCTGATGATCACAAGGCTGAAGTGCCTTGGTGAAAACATCAGCAGTGTTGGCCTGAGAGGCCACGTAAGCAAGAC